TAATTCGATATAAGATGCAGGACTCCAAGAAAGGATTATTACCTTTCAGGCATGAAGTTCATTTGTCGAAGAAACAAAGTCCTAAGACACCTCAAGAAGTTGAGGATATGAGACAATTCCCTATGCATCAGCAGTCGGTAGTCTGATGTATGTCATGCTATGTACCCAACCCGACATATGCTATGCTATAGGAATTGTCAGTAGATATCAGTCCAATCCGGGACGTGCTCATTGGATTGCCGTTAAGAATATCCTCAAGTATCTTAGGAGAATGAGGGACTATATTCTAATGTACGGTGCTAAGAATCTGATCCTTACAGGGTACACTAACTCAAATTTTCCGACCGATGTAGATTCGAGGAAATCGACATCAGAATCTGTCTTCACTCTGAACGTAGGAGCAATAATATGGAGAAGCATAAAGCAAGGTTGCATTGCTGATTCCACCATGGAGGCTGAGTATGTTGCTGCTTGTGAAGCAGCAAAAGAATCTGTATGGCTTAGAAAGTTCTTAACTGATTTGAAAGTCGTTCCAAATATGCATCTTCCCGTCACTCTTTATTGTGATAACAGTGGAGCAGTTGCAAATTCAAAAGAACCAAGAAGCCATAAGCGAGGAAAACATATTGAGCGCAAATATCATCTCATAAGGAAGATTGTGCAACGAGATGTGATCGTCACACAGATAGCTTCAGAGCATAACATTGCTAATCCATTTACAAAGCCCCTCACGACTAAAGTGTTTGAAGGGCACCTAGTGAGTCTAGGACTATGAGTTATGTAATCTAGGGCAAGTGGGAGAAAATGCATGAATATGTCTTTCTCTCTACTCAACGTTATAAAACCCCACTAGAGTTTTAGTCCAAGTGGGGGTTTGTTGGGTTTTATGTCCTAAAACTCATAGTTTGTAAACAAAAACATATTCTATTTTCAATAAAGTTATTGTTGTTGTTTATTCAGTAAAGATTGTTATTGAATAAAGTGAATTTTACGATCATTAATCTAAATCCAATAAACTAAGAACACTTTGGCTATAGTATGATTACTTGCACTATATGTCGAGACATAAGAGTGGATCAAGTTCAGGTATATAGTCAAAATGATCTATAGTATAAGGATAAGGCTGAGTACCTTATTCTGAGGACACTATGGATGCGGCCCACTTTTGTATATGATATAAACAATGTGATCACTAAATTGTACATGTGGAGACATGTGAGTGGGGGCGTCCTATGCAATGAGTATTGCATAAGATCGGACCATGAAGAAAACCACTCTCACTTTATAATATCGTTTACTGTTGAGACTGATTTTCTTTTCATTCGATGACCTAGGTAACTCGATCTTAATCCTGAGCTAATCATGAACTCCTATTTATTCAAAATTATCCTTAGATTTGCATGGGTGAGAGTGGCTCGAGTTTTCCGACTCAATAGGCCTCCCATTTCAAGGGTAAGACTGGGTGAATAGCTGGGGACGTGGGGTGCAAGAGGGAATTCGCTCCTACCCACTTTTAGGGATAGAAGAGAGGTAGTTGCCTTAAGTACTGACTCCAGGTCTTGAACAAGGGGTCCCACCCTCTCATTGGCCTGAGAGGGATTCGATTTACTGGTTGGACTACAAACCAATTGTTCATAAGCGGATCAGTGGGACATAAGGAACAAGAAGTAACTTCAGGGGTAAAACGGTAAATTGACCCAGCTCTAGCTACGAACAACTTGCGAAAGATCGACTTACTAATCATGGTTATATCAAATGGACAGAAGTATATCTATAGTGAGAGAAGTGCAACTGGTATCATCGTTAACTATTAGGACACTCCACTATAGCCTAGTACAAAGAACTTTGGTTTTTCTTCATCAGTCAACAACATATAGTGGGTACATACCTATCTGATAGTTGATAGTTTTGGAGATCTTTTAAATGTTGCCTTTTTTGACCCTTAATCTCTAAAACTAATTTAGTATAATGAATTAATTAATTGATATTTTTTAGGATAACAAACAACTTTTAATTATTAATAGTTTCAATATTTTGAAGTGTTTATAATATAAAGCTTAGAAAGATGATGCGATGCCTTTTAAAATCAGAATTATAATAGAGAAGTTACCGCTGAAACAAAATAGAGTAGAAAATGCCGAAATGACGTGGAAGCTGAATTGTCTATCATGGACAAATTTCCATAACACATGTTTTGGAATAACAAATTGGTGACTATTTTAATTGTTTTTAAAATAAAAACAATTATATATATAATAATATATTTTAAAATAAATAAATTTAAACGACTAATATTATTATTATTATTATTTTAATAGCAAAAAGGAAATAATTTAAACCATCGATTATTAACATCGTTACTATTTTTTAAATAAAAAAGGGAAAGAAATTTAGATAGTCGGTTATTACTATTTCTAAAATTAAAAAAAAAAAATCAAATTAAATCATTTGCAACTGCTCTTCCTATCTTCATATTTATACACTTGTTTTTTAAGACACAATTCTTCCCCAATTTTAAATCTCCAATTTTTGTTTTTATTTATCTTATTCAGAATTTTTTTTATTATATTGTGACAATATTTATATCAGTTTGATCTTGAGCGGTAAAAAAGTTTGAGTTTGGTCTTCAACTCATAAGATGAGTTGTGTTACGTTTTTGCTCTGATCCGTGGAAAGAGTTTATTCAAATTTTCAAGAGGTATTTAAGGAGTGGAGTAGGTTGAGTTTAACCGAACCACTCTAAAATTAAAGTGTTACTTTCTCTAACTCTATCTCACTCAATTTTAAAATTATTATTGTGCGTTTGTTTTGTTAGTTTTGTTTTTAATCGTTTATTGTTTTAAATTGAATTATTTTATACATTTGTATTAATTGTGACCTTCAAATTGATAAAAAGTTTGATAAAAAAAAATATTTTAATTTTTTACTAACTTTATGTCAAAATGTTGTCATACTCATCCAACACTATACACCTATCCACGTTTAATTCCTCAACAACTGCCTCATAAATTTTTAAAGTATTTACTATTAGGTGAATTTTTTCGCAACTCAATCTCAATTTCCACTTGTTTTATTGTTTCGAAATCTTTCTTTTCTTTATTCTTGTACAAGACATTTTCATCAAAAGTCATGTCATAATGTCTCAGGATTTTTCTATTCATGTCATCCCAAAATTTGTATCCAAACATGTCATAACTATAACCTATGAAGTAGCACTTCACAACCTCAGCGTCAAGCTTGTCACTCTTCTTTAGATTAACACGAACATATGCAGTGCAACCAAAAGTTCTTAAGTGAGAGTACTTGAGTTCTTTTTTGTCCATACCTTGTCTGGCAGCTTGAACTCCAAAGGTACTGACAACCCTCTATTGATTAAGTAGGTTGCTGTATTTACAACATCGACCCATAATTTATTTGGCAATCCATAATGAATCCTCGTACTCGTTGCTCCCTCTTTCAATGTTATTTTCATCTTTTCAGCAACACCATTTTGTTAACTAGTGAGCCTTAAAAACTTCTGTTACGTCCTTGATTGATTATTTAATTGATTGGTTGAAGTATGGATAACTAATGAGCCTTAACTTATATTTCAAATACTTTGGTGAGTCATGTTTAGGATTAGGTACGATTGTGGGTGTTGGCTAGTATTATGTAGGGTGGTTGGGACATAACTCTTGGTAAAAAAATTGTCTCAACTAGTGAAGGTCTACCGAGAATATATAGAAGAATATGTTGTCACCCACTTAGGGTCTATGACCTATTAGAGAGTACCACTGATGGATCTCCAGTGGTGCTCAATGGAGATCATAGGTTTCATTATTTAAAACTTGCAATAATGTAGATATAGAAAGCTCACATAAGGACACTTCAGACTAATGATTAGGAGTAGACACTTATGGAGCATATTAGGGAGACTGAGAGGTTACTAACAAAATAATCTAGCTTTTCATTCCAACTAGATCCACCTGAGAACCCGTGTTTTGATAAAGGCACCTTGACTTGTGTATTGATCTCATAATAACTTAGATGGACAAAAAAAAAAAAAAAAAAAAAAAAAAAAAAAAAAAAAAAAAAAAAAAAAAAAA